CTTGAGCTGGCTAGAATGCTGAACCTTGCAAACCAGCAACTGTAAGTCGTAGGAAACACAACTGTGAACACCCGGGAGGGTGTGCTAGGGGAGCCATCGCTGGGATGCTGCTGCTAGACACCGAGATGAACTCGGTCAGGGAGATCTGAGGTCTGTTTCAGACACACCGGGAAGTTTAATCATGAATTGCGTGTGTAATTTATGAAATGGGGAAATACTGGATGCAGCCTCAATACCGTCAACCCTTCCGGGAGAGTGACGGAGTGACAGCCGATTCGGTTACCTGACGTGGCCACGATCAGACCGATGGCAATCTCTTTCCTGCCCCTATTTGACTGACCCAAAGCAAAACAACGTTCTCCATGGCCGTTGCATTCCTGTTCCCTGTGTCCTAGCTTCCCCGAGCCCTAAACATGTGCGGGACAGCCACTCGGGAACCCATGTGAACGGGCCGCTGAGACCACGGGCAGGACGGGCCGGGGGCCACAGGGGTTGGGAGAGGGAAGGGGAGGGCCACTTCTGGGGTCCACCGTTCCGGCAGAACGCGGCCCACGAGGGAAGGCCCCCATCCAGGGTGACCCATCTCCCAATGAGAGGACACTCCCAGCAGGACCAGTTCCCTGGGCAACCCAGCTTCTCCCGAGCAGGGCTCGCCAAAGGCCGGCTTGCTGAAGCGCCGAGACCTTGATACGGCTCTTCACTGAGATTCCCGTCTCGGCACCTTCCACCGCCCGGAGCAGCCGTGCTCCTTGAAAGACACAGGAATCACAGAGCCGACAGGCAACCGGGAACACGGGTCTGTGCCTAGACCTACCGCCATCGCTCCCGGGAAGGGGCATAGGGGGCAGTGTCACATGCCAGGCACCCTGGGCTTTCTGAATGAAGATGGACAATGGTGGGACGCTGTGTTCGCTTTCTTTGACTTTATTAGCACACGTCAGAAAAAAAGCAGCATTGTGTTGGCTGATTGCTCAGCATGTCTATCAGACCGATAGAACAGAGACCACCGACAGCTGCCGCTGGGTCCCGGGCCGCCGTGTCACTCCCCCCCGTGTGTTCAGGCACGGGCGTGGCGGAGGGCGGCGCGGGGAGGCCTGTGGGCCCGGTGCTCCCGGAGCACTCCGAGGCCCCAGGACGGATGTGCAAAGTCAGTACGGGGCGGGGCGGGTTTCTAATCGAGCTCCAAGCACTGCCCGAGGCGCGCACCGAGCCTCGGCAGAATGTCGCCTCAACGGGAGTGTGAGCGACAGGCCTGGGCTTTGAACCAGAAACCTGTGTCCAAGGACACTTCGTGGTGAGGAGTGGCTTTCCTGGGCGGCATCTGCAGAAGCCGGGCCAGCCCAACAAGGGGGCGATGCTTCTGTCGTCATCACAGGGGGCTTCTCTCTCCCCCAGGTGACCTAACAGAACTGAAATTTGCATTTTAGAAATGCTGGCTGGGCTGGGGGGAAGGGAGACCTGGGGACAGCTGGTGTTCAGCTCCGTTACCCCAGTTTCACTGTTTAAAAAAAATGTCTGCTTCCTGAAGTCAGAGAAGCAGCGGTCATTTATTTTTATTAATTTTTTTTTTTGTCATCTTTACCCAGCTATCACATCGCCTTCCGGCTCTCCCATCCACTCTCTGTGTTTGGTGCACCCCTTCACTGAGGTCCCCTGAGATGGACAGATATATAAAACGGAACACAGCCTGTGTGACAGGGGCGTGGGCACACGGCACAGCTCTTTTCCCGGGAGCGACGCCGGGCTCAGTGCGCCAGCGTGGGGGGGGGGGGGGGGGGGCGGGGCAGAGGACCAGTGCTCCCCAGGCTCGTGTGTCTTCGGAGACTGAAAACAGAATTCACCTCAGATGTTTATGGGAGTAAACCGCTTGCTACGTTATGTTTACCAGTGGGCTCTTCACCAGGGGGAACTTTTTAGCAAGAATGGGGGGCGGGGGCGGACAGGGAGGGGAGACAAGAAATTCAAACTCCCCAGCATTCATCACAAAGCCAAGTGCGCTTTGGGGAGGAGGAGGGGAGAGACAGGCTTCCGTCTGAAAGTGAAATAATGCTGCGAATGAAAACCATGGCGATGAGAAAGTCATGAGTCCACGGAGGTGATCGCCGACACACACACACACACACACACACACACACACACACACGTATGCCATGGCCTCATGGCACGCGAGTTCTGAACTCCGATTTTTCTGGCTCACACATCAACGCACGGCTGCCGCTTCATCAAATTTATGGAGGTAGTTATATGCAAAAATAAAAATTACCATAAAGTAATATGCTGCATCATAATAATACATAAGTGTGCAAAATGCCAACAGATGGGTTGACCCTTGGACGTTGAACGCTAGCTAACAGAGATTCAACCGGACTCGGTTCTGTAAACCTTTCGGATGGCAAGCTCATTGTGAAGGGAGGACTCAAAAAGCAGCCGTGGGCACAAAGCTGTCGTTTCCCCGGAGGACAAGGTGTCCTCGCAGCGTGGTCCCCGAGACCCTCGCCTGAGGGCCATCCTGGGTCACATCTGTTAAATGGTTCCGCCGCCACCACCACCCCCCCTTCTGGAAGCCCAGAGAGATCAGATGGGTTGCTTCTACCTGGGCCTTACACCGGATCACCTTCAAAGTCCATCGTTCCTATGCTCATGGCTGCTGGCTAAGGGAGTTGTTTTGTGTTTTTGTTTTTTAAATCATGTCCCAGGCAGAAAGTGTACACATTTTATTGGAACAATGCCTTCTATAAACCGTTTTTCTTGCAAAAATAGTGATAAATCCCTATTTTAAAGCTCCTAAAGGTAGTGATTCCTTTTTCCGGGTCATCCAGCATTGGATTCGGAGGATGGGGACTTTCAGAGGATCAACCTGAGGCTGGCGGGCTGTTTCAATGGTTATGTTATTTATGAGCTGAGTGTATGGTGAACACTGCAGAGCAGGATTTTTTGGGGGGAGAGGGGGAAGGGGAGGATGAATTTCGACAGGAGAATTTAGTAACTGAATGGTATACAACTCCCCAGGGAAACGGACTCGCAATGGAGTCTCTGAGAGACGCGATCCCTCCTTCTGGACACGGGCCGTGAGACGGAGGGCTGGCGGAGCCATCGGGCATGCCTCGGAGGAAGTGGGGCATGGCACGGCACGCCAACCGACGGGAGCCTGTCAGGGGTGTGGGAGCCGACTGCGACCTGTGCTTAGGGTTCGCCCTAAGCACAGACAAGGAGCCGATACAGCCCCGAGGCGTCTGGCACACCACGCAACCTCCAAATATCCGAGGGAGCACCAGGGAGCACCCCAGTGTTGCAGGAATCAGTCTGGCCGCGCAGGCGACTGCGGTCTCTGAACGGACCGCCAGCGATGGAGCCCGACTCTGGGGCTTCACACACGCGGAGCCGTGGCTGGCTCCGAGACTGACTTTTGGATATGTGTTTTCTGGCTCCAAACATCACATGCCACTGAGCTAAGTAAACTTTTGTCAGACCGTTTACTTGTGTCCTATGTAACCCTTTTGCGAATGCTTTTCCCATGATCTACGTCGATTCCACTGCTCCCATAAAATAAATAAAGAGCCTTTCCTGGAAAGCTGAAGCTTGGCTATTCGTCATTCCTCTGCCGCCGCCCGGCTTCCTCTGCATTCCACGTGACATTGTAAACCAAAGCCAAAGGCGAACCAACCGTCCTGAAGTACAGCCGGCCAATCGCCACCCGCACCCGCCTACACATGCCTCCTGAACCGGGCCCCGGTCTCTGTAAACATCACTCTGGCATAGTCCATGTATGCATAATGGTCGTTCCGGTCGATCATAAGGGGAGTACAGGTTAGAATCATACCACGTTTGCAGAATGAGCACATTCTGTTGTTCGTTACAGGGGCACACCTATATATTTCTGGTCAAAAACTACACTTCATGTCTTCTCTATAGATATCTTCCCAGGAATAAAAGGCCTGAAAGTCCAACTCTCCCTCAACCTGCTCTTTCCTAGAACCACTAAAAATTATCTCCCACCGCCTAATTTAGGCATTCTATTTAAAACTACATAAAATAGATTTACGTCCTTCCATTAGAAAGAATAACATCCCCAGGCCATACTCTTCATTTGTATCACAAAGAACATTTTGCTTTTTAGACAAACTCATGATCGCATCTATGATGGTAAGAGAGGATCACCGTGTCCCTTTCCCGGACAGGAAGTGATCCCCTCACCGATCCCCACTCGCACCTTTCCCAAGAGCCCGCGTCCCCGCTTCCAGCAGGAGCGCGGAGCCCCGGCAGGCTGGGGGCCCTTCCTTTCTACCCACTTCAGATCCAAAGGCCTATATTCCTGTTAGTGACGGTGACGGTTAGAACTCAAGACAAGCATCTCGTACTTAAAAACAAAATCCTGACCACACACACTCCCAGGCTCTCCACCCCGACCCCCGAGGACGCACTTTCACGGGCCCCTGCGAGACCGCGCCACAGAAACTCACAGGGAGGAAGTGACGGTGCCCACGCGATCCACACACCGGGGGCTGGGGTCCCTTCTCGGCTGTTTGGCATGGACTCCCCTCCCCGCGGGCCGTGGCATGGGACATTGTGCGGTGGCTTCGCTGTGTTTGTTGGTTTGTTTGTTTGGAAGTGTGGAGCATCAGTTCTGGGGCACCATCTGCCCACAGACGGGGAGCAGCACGCACCTGTGGCATTTAGAAACGGCGTTGGCATGACATTGGAAATGCTCTTACACGTACAGTGTCTAGACTCTCCTAGGTGTGCTCAGTTACAATTAGTGAAGCAAAAAGTGTACGTTATCACCCCTACCGCTATTCTGTCGCTACAGAGCCATACGTGGGAGAAAGCAACACTCCGAAAGAAAAGACGGGTGTGTTTTGCTCTAGCCTACTTAGCAGCGCAGTTTGAGTAAACACCGAAACTGCGGTGGAGATGCTTGTCCTTCCGAGGATGTAAACAGCAGTCCCAGTGTCGTAAACGTGGCTGTGCCGGGCGGGGCGGAGGTCGGGGCCGGGCGGCGGTCACACGCTCGTCACCGAGGCTTGCAGGCAGTTGGAAGCTTTCTGCAGCTTCTCAGCTTCGCTGGTGGGGGTGTCCGTGCTCGCTCGGAAGCTGAAGGCCGGGCCAGCCCCGCTGTGGGCCGGGCTCAGGGTAGGGTTCTGGCGGCGGTTACTTTCCACGATGCTCGACGTGTTGGAGGCCAGGCTCTCCCTGGTGCTAGAAGAGCAAAAAGGGTTTGTTTTGTTTGGAACATAAACGATTGCGCAGCGAGTTCCAGAGGAAGAGCACGAGACGGGGGTAATGCGTGTCCCCTGTGGGCTCAGAATGCCAGACACAGGCCGCCTCCCCCTGAGCATGTACACACGCGCCTGCACGGCTCCGGCAGCGGCACACACGTGTGCCACCGGCAGCCCGAGGCACGGAGGGTCTACCCCAGCTACGTGCCTTCCCCTCCTGTCCCATTTGAAGAAACTCCTTCCAAGTTCAATGTGATCTACAGCGACCGCATCGGGGTTTTTTAAAATGCTCGTAAATACGCCGAAACCTGTTTGGCTCCGTGGATAGAACGTCGGCCTGCGGACTGAAGGGTCCCAGGTTCGATTCCGGTCACGGGCATGTGGGCATGTACCTTGGTTGTGGGCACATCCCCACCAGAGGGTGTGCGGGAGGCTGCTGGTCGATGTTTCTCTCTCATTGATGTTTCTAGCTCTCTATTCCTCTCCCTTCCTCTCTGTAAAAAATCAATAAAAAATATATTTCAAAAAATTTTTAAATAAAAATAAATTAAAAATAAAATATTTGTAAATATACACCTGTAATGATCTCATTTCAGGCCGGGAATTCACTGATACAACTGCCCCTTACCAGCTCAGTAATTGTACCCTCATGGTTCTGTATTCACTCTCCAGGGGCAGATTCTTTCGTTGCTGGACCTCAAGCATGCCATGGCTACCCTGCGGCACTGGTGGAAATAAAACCCTTTGCAGACACCGTCAACCTCTGGTCAGATGTTCACGCTTTGGAGAAAATACATTAATATTTCCTGATGAGGCATCTCAGATGTTACTCACTTATTGGTGAAGTTTGTATTTATCCTCGCACCTCCCCCCCTCCCCCCCACACACACACATGCACTTTGGGTAGAAATATTTTATATTTTAAGAGATTCTTAGAGAACAGAGGGGACCTAAAGACGTTAGTATTTTGGTTTCTCTTCATTGTTCTGAGTTAGATTACCAAAAGCTAATTTATTTCTCCAAGAGATTTAGAAACATTTGAAGATTTCAAACGTGTGGAGCAATAGCGGGAATAAGGTTTATTGGCCTGACTGATGGGAACCGAACGGATGTTCAAGGTCCTCAAATGGTAATAAGAAACTTACCAGCTTACAGAGAGACCGAAGCACCCATCCTATTGGACAGAGTCAAGGTTTACAAAACACTTGGTGAGCGCTGGTCCCAGGACTGAGCGAAGCCTGCGGAAGCTAGCCTGCAGGTCAAAGGGCGATGGTGGACATCCACTCTCTCAGCCTCCTCCAAAACTGATGGCAATTTTGCCTAAACCCTAGACCTTGGCAGCCCTTACTAACAGAGACAGATTACTTTATCCTAAGCCCTCGTGGCCTTGAGTTTGCGTCTCACCAAGGAGCCAAGAGTTCACTGTTCAAAGGAAACTGTGTTTGTTGACTACCAAAGAGACCACTGGGCATTCCTGGACTCCCAGGGTCCCGCCAGGTTAAGACATTTACAGAAGTTCTTCCATTGTACCTATGGCTACTCTGGGCCTGCTGAGAGAACACGCAACACATCCGGGCTACAGGGATGGAACGTGCCCGGCTTCCCACTTACCTGGCCCCTTCCCTAGGAACGCCCATCGGAGGCTTGCCAGCCCCAACCGACGCACAGTCAGGGGGAGGGAGGGAGGAGGGGGGGAAAGAGGGAGGGAGGGGATAAACATGTCAACCCCAGAGATTTCATGACAGGTTCCTTCAGTGTTATCCTTAACCATGATAATATTTCTCCTCAGGTATTTCACTTCATTTTTAACATCGGGAAAGTTATGTGATTTACCTACGCACAGAGCGGCCATGAAGAAACAGGCGTTGATGCAGAATGTGTACACTGCGAAGCTAGACATGTGGAAGTTACTTCTGTTCCGTAGCTAGCGTGTCATGCACAGAGTAGCTACTGTGTGGGCTGGTGTAGGAATCCATGGGGGTCCTTCTTTATGAGAAAGTACATTTAAAGTTCCAAAACCCCCACTTTTTAATAGGCTTTTAAGGCATGGGCCTAACACGTACCTGCTATAGGCCAGGCCCTGTGCCAGGCACTGCACACACACCTCCCTACGATGGACCACCTACGTTTTGGTAGCTGTCTGTGCTCCAAGCTGCCTCTCTGCCATGGCCAACCTATTCATCGTGACAAATGCATACAGACCTCCCGTGTGTGGCATTCCTATCGAGGGCTCAGGATATGATGATGAAAAAGTTCATGAAGATGGAGCAGTATCAGTAAAAATATCCCTCAAATTTAAACATGTTTTTTTTGTTGTTGTTTTTTGTTTTTAATAAGAGAATGAATGGAGTGCCGCCTGGAGGTCTCCATGTCTCACAGGCAGATGACCTGTCCCAGCAGCTCTGTCGCCCGCCCTCCTGGAACATGTGTTTTGTGCAGCCCCCAGCACATGGCACACGGTACATCAGACAGACACATCCCCGCCACAGCCTCTGATTTTCATACTATGTTTATCCACCAGTTTGGGGCTCAGATTTGGAACAGCAGACTTTTCATGTCAAAAAATTTCCTTTTGATTAGATCTATGACATAGCTTAAGTTACTATGTTTTGTTTTGTTTTCCTTCTCAACCCCCTTTCTAAGAAAAGGGACTGAGAAATTCTGGGAATATGGTTGAACTTGATTGAAAGCTGAATGTGGCAATCACCATTTCTGGAGGGGGGGGGGTTATTTGTGTGATTTTTCAGTTGAATCTTAGTTGCTCGGTGAATTATTTACTGAAAGACCCAAATAAATGGCCCACTTAAGATTTCTGTATCTCACAACCCGGGGGAGGTGTCAGTATGATAATGCTATTTGGCTAAAATACTCCTCACACTCGTGAGTAAAACTCCCTATAACTCAAACATTCTCGTTTGTAGACTCTCCTCACCCATCCATTAGAAAGGCAGCTCAGGGAATTTACTGAGGCGTACAGGAAATACAGTTTAAAAATGGGTATAGAAAGCCAGTTTGTCATCTAGCCTGTAATCAATGCGCATTAAATATGAAAGGGATACAAGAAGAAACCGCTATGTGCTAACTGCATGAAACTTATGGGTGAGCGACATAGTCTTACAGAGAAAATTCTACCTAGTAACAGTGGGCAGACACAGCGCTAATGTGTGAAGGTTGCCTCCTGTGAACAACCTTTACCTTCTACCATGACAAAGCACTTGGAGAAATTCAAATAAACTTCTTTATAAATTCTTGAGTTGGAACCATTAAGCTACCCTCAATGTCCCTTTAGTATCTCTGGAGGTCTAATGCTTTCCCTCAGTGGCGGTCCAGGGGTCAAGAGGCAACATGAAGGGTAGGAAACTGCTGTGTGAGAAGCATCAGGTGGGTAGAAATAAGAAAGAGTGGAGCCTAAGGTACAGGCAGGTAAAGCACACCTTCCGTAAGTGACGGTCTTGAACGTCTACTATCCATTACAGACCTTCAATTATGCCTGTATGGTTCAAGAGGAGAAGAAGCAGTAGAAGGAAGAAATAGAAAGGAAAGGATGTACCAAATAACTGGTAAATAAGATTTGATTTGGAAAATAGAGAGCAAAGGTTATGACTTAGAAAAGTCACTTAATAGGCCAGTAGTTTTCAGACTGAGTGCCAAGCTCCCTGAGGTCCCTGAGGGCTCTTCCAGGGACGGCAGCAGAGACCTGGGACCCCTGCTCTCTCACCACTCCAACCAGAGTGCCAGTGCTGTGGTCCGTTTAGATACTGGACTTCCACACGTGTTAACTTGGAAAGAAGGTTACATGACAATGATGATGATGACGATGATGATGATGATGATAATCAAGAACTAGTCCTTTAAGAAAAACAAAGGCTTAATCTGTGACAAACAGACTGACAATTCCCAAATTCTAATTTTGGGATGCTCCGTCCCCAAATTACCCAAAGATACAGTGAAATGATCACACTAGGACTAATTATAACTCTTAATAATGAAAATAACCATATCTGGATACTTGCTAAATTTATAAACATTATAAAATCTTGGGAATCACTTTTAGTGAGAAATGTCCATCTCTCATTGCATTTCTGCACCTCAGAGTCACCAATCTGGAGTAGAATTTAGAAGGAGAATGAGGCCCCGCGCTGCTCCTTGAGGAGAAGGAAGAGTTAAGCAGAAATAAAGGGGAGGTGCATAGACTCTCTCTTGCTTCCTGAACCCCTGAACCACTTCAGTGCACCGGATGTGACCACTGAGCGTTACATACTCTCAACTGCCCAGCCTTCCCCGAGTCACCAGAACCCACTAAAAACAAGCACTGCGACCTGAGGACCCTTACAGGTTGTGTCAGTGCTACAGGAGGAGGAACAGCAGTGCTGGCACGTGCTTTGATCTAAGAGAGCACAGTCCCCCATTCCTTCTGCGGGAGAAATAAGGTCCATTTCTCGGTGGGCACATGAGTGGGGAGAGGAAGCTGCATGGGGAAGGTGGAGAGAGCCACCAGGAAGCTGGTTAACATGGCAACAAGCTTCTACATCCACTGGCAAGGTGTTGAGATCTACTTTTACAGTTGACCCTCGAACAACACAGTGGTTAGGAGTGTGGACCCTCCCCCACCTGCAGTGTCAAAAATGTGTGTGTAACTTTGGACTCACCCAAAATTTAACTGCTAATAGCTTACTGCTAACTGTAAGCATTACTGATAACAGTCAGCCAACTCTTATTGGTATGTTATATGTATTATGTACTGTATTCTTACAATAAAGTCAGCTTCAGCCCTGATCAGTTTTGCTCAGTGGTTGGAGCGTCGGCCTGTAGACTGAAAGGTCCCAGGTTTGATTCCGGTCAAGGGCATGTACCTTGGTTGCGGACACATCCCCAGTAGAAGGTGTGCAGGAGGCAGCTGGTCGATGTTTCTCTCTCTCATCGATGTTTGTAACTCTCTATCCCTCTCCCTTCCTCTCTGTAAAAAAAAATCAATAAAATATGTTTTAAAAAATCAACTACAGAAAAGAAAAAGTCATCAAGGAAGTCATAAGGAAGAGAAAGTACATTTATAGTATTTATTGAAAAAAAATAAATCTACCCTTTTCCAGCCAGTGTTGCTTGGTGGTTGAGCATCAACCCATGAACCAGGAGGTCACAGTTTGATTTCCGGTCGGGGCACATGCCTGGGTTGCGGGCTTGATCCCCAGTAGGGATATGTGCAGGAGGCAGCTGATCCATGATTCTCTTTCATCATTGATGTTTCTGTCTTTCTTGCTCTCTCCCTTTCTCTCTGAAATCAATAAAAATACATTTTATAAAAGAAAAAAAAAGCTGTCTCTAATTTACCCGGGCAGTCCAAACCCAGATTGTTCAAGAGTCAACTGTATGTTTTCACTAGAGGAACTCTCATCCTTGAGTCCATCAATTCATTCCCAACCCCCACCAACTCCTCATCCTGCTCCATTTTTGAAGCACTTAAAAAACAAAACGAAACAGAACACCCTTTCTTTACCAGCATGAAGGCAATGTAAACATGGAAGAAAAAAAATACTGGGAAATGATGGTCTTAGATTGGACTGAGGCAAGTGTGAGGGGCCAGCCAACCCACCAGTCCAGATTGGCGCTCTCTACAGCTGCAGAAACACTTGTTTCAAGTCCTGCAAAAGAAGCCAGAGACAGGCGGTTACCAACACAGCGCACCCAGCCCGCACCCTCGTCCACGAGCTGAGCCCGAGGAACCTGACACTGTCTTCCAGGTGTCTGCACCCGGCCCCTGGCCCCCGGCCCCCGGCCCCCGGGGGGGTGGGGTGAGGGTGTGTGTGTGTGTGTGCAGGGCGCCTCTCCCTACCGTGGCGAGTTGAATCCACTGTCCACAGTGATGCTGCTGCTGTCCATGCTGTCCAGGCGTGCCGAGTGGGTGGCCCTCTGGTGGCCGCTGCTGTCCGTGTCTTTGGGGGCGAGGAGGGTGAGGTTCTTCTCGAATTTCCTCTGCAGGTCCCGCTCCTTCTCCCGCTCCAGGAGCCACTGCATGGTGCCCACGTCGTCTCGGTTCTTCTCCTCCTCGGCGGTCTTGTGCGCCCCCTCCTCGGAGTCGTCGTCGTCGGAGACGTTGTAATAGTCAAAGGAGGCTTCCTGGGTGCCCCCGGGCTCCTGCTGGCGCTGCAGGACCTGGGCGGCCGCCGAGCCCAGGGCCGGCTCCAGCTTCTCGCAGCGGCCCGGCAGCGTGTCCACGGGGGACTTGGAGTGCGCTTTGAGGAGGGACAGGCTGGATTTGTGGTAGCTGTTGACGGACAGGGTGCTGTGCAGAGGTTTGAACAGGGTGTCTTTGCTGAAGATCTCTTTCCTCTTGTCCAGGCTGCTGGGCTCGGCGCCGTGGTGCTGCACGAGGCGTCCGTTGGCCAGCCCGTCCGCCGCCCCCGCCGAGCCCGGAGCGGCCGGGCCCCCGCCCAGCCCCGCGGGCGACTCCTCCTTGTGTCCTCCGGGCTCCCTGGAGGAGACCGGGGTCTGCCTGTCGGACAGCGGCAGCTTTTTCACCCCTTCGGCCACGGTCAGAGGGTCATGGTCCTCCTTATTCTTTCCCAGAGGTGAGGGAGCCGTGAGCACCGTCTCGCTGGAGGTGTTGCACTGGAAATAGTCGTCCGTTGCCGCTTTCGTGGGGCAGGGATTGAGGTCCCCGAAGGACGGCAAACTCTCGGGGGCCTTGCCTGGCTCCAGGAGGCTGCTGGACGGCTCCTTGCCGCCGCCGACTATTTCGGGGATGCACGCCTCTTTGTAGCTCGGGGACAAAAGGTGAGCCCTTTGGTGGCCGGCCGCCTGGGCAGCCCTCAGAGTGCCGTCGTCCACGAAGGACGCCTGGACGGGGGTTTGGTCGCCCTGGCTGCAGCCCTCGGCCAGGTCATCGGGCGTCCCCAGCGAGGACGTGCCCAGGGGGCCCTTGGAATTGTCCATGGACCTGGACCTCTCCTTGGCTTTGCTGGGCCTCTCGTTGCGGGACCGCCGGTCCTGGGTATGGCTGTGGCTTCGGTGCACTTTGGAGTGGGAGCTGCCCCGGGAGGGCTCGGGGAAGGGCATCTCCGTCCTCCGTTTGGCCAGCTCCCCGGACACGTCCCACTCGGGCGTCATGGGGAAGTGGGGTTCCAGCAGGCTGGGGGTGCTGTGCATGATGAAGTTCTCGCCCTTGTGCTCGATGATGAAGCAGCCCTCCCGGGGCACCCGGCTCAGGGGGTCGCAGAACCCGTACTCCCCCCGCTCCCCGGGCGCGTCCAGGTGGGAGCCCTCGGACGGGTCCCCCTTGGACGCGCGCGTCTTGCTGTGGGAGCGCGACTTGCCGTGAGACTTGCGGTGGGTCCTGCTCTTCTTGCTCCTGCCGCTGTGGTGGGCCGAGGAGCCCGCCTTGCTCCGGTGCGCCTTCTCCTCCTCCAGCTTCTTCATCAGCGCCGTGTGCCGCATGACGTTCTCCACCGTGAGGTCGGGGTTGATGCGCCGGATGATCTCCATCTCCACCTCCCGGGGGATGGTCGTGGGCGTGTCCTCGTCCCGCAGCGGCCACTCCTCGGGGGGGAACTGGGCGGAGAAGTTGGCCAGCTGCTTGGTCTTGTCCTTCTTGAAGCTCAGCCGGAAGAGCTTGAGCCCGAACCTCTTGGACGGCTTCTCGCCGTCCTTGGGCTTGGAGAGTGTCTCCGCCTTGCAGGAGAAGCTGACGGTGCTCTTGCTCTTCTCCGCGGGGGGCGCCGGGCAGAGCGGGGGCGGGCAGTAGGGGTCCTTGCAGTCCTTGGCGGGCTTCCGCTGCAGGGTGGACGCGTGCATGCTGTGCATGTCCTCCCGGCAGCAGTGGCAAGAGTCGCAGTGGTTTCTGGGCAGTGTCCTCTCCCGGCCGCAGCCCGAGGCCGAGGGCGTGATGGTGCCGGGCTGGGGGGAGGTGCACTGGGACCGGTCGGGGAGCCTCTCGTCCAAGTGGTACCACTTGCTGCTAGTTCTTATGAGGGAAGGGGTGATGAAGTACGTCTGTGGAGTCACGATGAAGTAGCCATCGGGCGTCGGGTAGATCTTCCGCTCCCGCACCAGCGTGTTCAGGGTGTGCCGTAGAATCTCTTGGCTGGGGGTGGGAACACCTGAGAGCGAGAGGACGCACCCGTGAGAAGGGAGAGGAAACATGTTGTTGATTCCTGATTTTTTTTAAAAAATTATTTATTTACTAGAAGCCCGGTGCACAGAATTAAAGTAAAGCCCAACCTGCACCCTTTCCAATCTGGGACACCCCCTCAGGGGATGTCTGACTGCCGGTTTAGGCCCAATTTCACACTGGCAGTCGGATATCCCTCTGTTGCAATCCAGGACCACTGGCTCCTAACCACTCCACCTGCCTGCCTGCCTAATGCCCCTGACTGCTCCCTCGCCAGCTGGTCACCCCCAATGTGCATATGTCTGGGGTCCTTCAGCCTGGCCTGTGCCCTCTCACAGTCTGGAAGCCCTCAGGGGAGCAGGCCTAAACCAGCAGTCAGACATCCTTAGCTCTACTACGGAGGCAGGTGAGGCTCCTGCCACTGCTGCTGTGCTTGCCAGCCATGAGCCCAGCTCAGGGCTTCTGCTGAGTAGCACTCCCCTCGTGGGAGTGCACTGACCACCAGGGGGCAGTTCCTGCATTAAGCGTCTTCCTCCTGGCGATCAGTGTGCATCATAGTGATTGGTTGTTCCACCATTTGGTCAATTTGCATATTGGCCTTTTATTATATAGGATTTAAAAGTCGTTATTGTTGAAAGTATTACATATGTTCCCTTTCTTCCCCCATTGATCTTGTTTAGCCTGACCCCACCCCATACCCCAGACCTTCACCACCCTATTGCCCATGTCCGTAGGTACAGCCTACTACACATGCACACAAGTTCTTTGGTTGACCTCTTTCCCACCCACCCACCCACCCACCCTCTCCATCTTCCCTCTGAGAGTCCAGTCCATTCCATGCTTCTATGTCTCTAGATCTATTTTGTTCATTAGATTCCACATATGAGTGAGACCATGTGATACTTCTCTTTCTCTGACTGGCTTATTTCGCTTAGCATAATGCTCTCTAGGCCCATCCATGCTATTGCAAATGTGATTCCTGATTTTTTTTTTTTTTTAGTCTGCTGTGTCCCCCCATGACTCATAGCGTCAAGCCCCAAACCCCAACATGATGGTGTTAGGAGATTGGGCCATAGGTTTAGTGAGGTCATGAGGTTGGAGCCCTCAGGATGTGACATTAGGAGAAGAACAGACCAGAGTCCTCTCTCTGAAGAGGTTCCTCACTAGACAGCAGATGTGTGGGTGCCCTGACCTTGGACTTACTTCCCAGCCTCCAGAACTGTGAGAAACAAGTGTCTGTTGTCAAAGCCCCTGAGTCTATGGTCTTTTGTTACCACAGCCCAAACGGACTAAGACAAAATCCTATTGATTTGGCCACGCTTCCAAGGATTATCATACAGCAGGTAAACAGCTTTCAAAGGTGCTCACTAAGTTTAGTGGGAATCCTGGTTTTCTCTGATGACTCTCATGAGTATTACCACCAACAGAATGGGAAAATACAAATGAGCTGGAGGGGGGGCGGGGGTGTTAGATGAGGTTAGGTTGCTCCTGTGGTTACAAAGCTTTACTGAACCGAGTTTTTAAAGGCAGAATATTTCTAAATGAGGGGAGACATAAAAAATGTTTTACATGATAGGATATAAATGAACAAAACATTTTTTTCAATAAAAGCAACTAGGGGACAGGGTTGAAATAGCCATCTTGGTATTGAAAAACTAATCTAAACTAGATAGAGGCTCCCCTATATATTTGAAGGTATTCTATATATTTTTCCAAGATTAAGTTTACTTAATAAACTGAATTTTGTAAATTACACAAAAGGGCAAATGGACCTGACCATTGTTAATTCTGTAGTACTCTCCTATTTCCCAATCATCACCTTCGATCTGGGGCGGGATGAGACCCCGGGGGAATTCAGGTCGGAGCCTTCTTCTCGGCATACCTCAGCAGGACGGAGGTGGGTTTCCCACTTCGTAACCAGAGAGCCCTAAGAAGGACACTCGTGAAAGCTTAGACCTTCTACGTCTGTCTGGTCCCTGGTCCCATGCTGGCACATTTGTTAGAACAGAGATCTCAGAAGGAAAAGAAAGAGATTTCAAAGGGTTTTGTGTGCGTTTTTGTGTCCGGTCTATGGTGAGAGGCAGGAGGAGGAGGATGCGTACTTAGAAAGTGCACGTTCTCCAGGCCGGAGCGCATTTGCTTTGCTTCTTGGCTGTTCTCCATTACGCACAGCCAGGCACACTGAGGGCGATGGCATTTCCAAGACGGACCTTAACGCTGAGCTGTCATGTGTCACTTGGCTATGGGGATTCATTCTGAGAATTGTATTCTCAGGCGGTTTCGCCGTCAGATGAACATCTCCGAGTGCACGTACACAAACCTAAGGGGTACAGCCTACTACACACCTAGGCTGCATGGAGTATGTAGCCTACTGCTCCTAGGCTACAATCCTGTGTAGCATGTTACCGCACTGAATACCGCAGACAGTTGTAATGTAATGATAGCGTTTGTCTAGCTAAACACAGAGAAGGCACAGTAAAGTGTGGTTGCCAAGCCCCACAGACACTGATCCCATCAGAGAGAAAAACTCCTGAACTACATGTCCTTCCATCTCCTATAGGAAATTCAGCTCCATTGTAATCTCACGGGACCACCATATCCTCTATACGGTCTGTTGTTGACCAAATATCCTATGAGGGGCATGATGGTAATCTGGAAGCAAGTCTGGTTGAATCATACTGCCGATATTCAACCATGTCTGAAACCACTGCTTGGGCTCCAGGGCCAGGCTTCTGGATAAAAATCCATTGCTGTTCACTGATGCGACTGGTTGAATTATGACCCCACCCCCCACCCTCTGCCATTCATATGCTGCAGTCCTAACTCCCAGGGCCTCAGAATGCGACCTTACTTGCAGATGCGGGTCTTTCTAGAGATAATCAAGTTAGAGTGAGGACACCAGGTGGGCCCTCAGCCAACATAACAGGTATCATCTTTAGAGGCGAAGTCTGGACGTAGAGACATGCGTAGAGAAGACAACGGCAGGAGAAGACAGCTGTCTACGAGCCAAGGACACAGTCCTGGAGCAGATCTGTCCCTCAGCCTTCGGAGGGAGCCAGCCAGCTCTACCAACACCTGGGTGTCAGACTTCTAGCCTCCAGAGCTGTAAGACAATCCGTTCCTGTGGTGTAAGCCACCTGTACCATGTTGTAGCTGCTCTACAAAACCAATACAATTGGTATCTTCTTAGGCAGCCTACCTCTCCAAGTCTCTACTTATTACCATCCAAATGGGGCCCGTCATAGCACCTCTGCTCACAGAGTTGTGAGTTCACTTGAGTCTCATGTATGTACAGCAGTGCCAGACATACAGTGAGTTCTCGATACATATTAGCAATGAGTAGTCTCAACTTTGGGTCAAGTCCCATGGAAACCTAGATCACCTTCAAAGAACACTGTATAGCAATCTAGAGCAGGTGGGTAAGCGGAAAAGGGTAGGCTCCCCCCATCCTTCCACCCTGTGAAGGTGAGATACGAAAGCATTAGGTGACAGCCTGGAGTTCTCAAGGGGAGCGAGGCCATGAACGTGATGTTTCGTTGTCACTTTCAGAAGGCACGATGCCATCCTTAGCGACTGGGTGGGAAAGGGAGCGGTGTCTACGAAGAAGGTATTATTTCACAGAATTGTTTCGTTGTGGGCCCCCATGCTTACTTTCGATCTAGGCTCTACTCCTGAGAAACGCACACTGGTTTTCACGCAAATGATGCCAAGGCCAGGATAAGCACAACGTTTCCCCTAAATTTCATGCGCGTTTCTGCACAAAATAAAAACAAATGCCAGTTGAATTAGTGATAGGACCCAAACCTTATCTATGCAATTCTTGAGCGCCGGCATAAAACAAAAACTGCCCGTACACGAGAATGCAACTTCAAAGGAGCTGCCATGCCCATGATCGGTCAGAACAACTTCACGCTGAATTCAGCTCCTGAGATGAGACCCCCACTTACACCTTAGTCTCATGGATGACACCCCAAGAGCTGTGCAGCACAGTCATCCAGACAGCAGACACACATGTAAAACAGAGATCTCACACGGTAGCACCCATGCAGTAATATTAAAATAGAAAGAAGTTGCCCCGGCTGGCTAGCTCAGATGGTTAGAGCATCATCCCAATACTCCAAGGTTGTGGGTTCAGTCACCGGTCAGGACACATATATTATCAACCAATGAATTCATAAGTGAGTGGAACATCAAACCCTCCCTCCCCACAACTCTCTCTTTCTCTCTCTCTCTCTCAAATCAATTAAAATAAAAAATTAAAAAAAAATACAAATAAGTTTTTTTTTGTTTTTTTTAAAGGTAAGGTTCACTTTTAAGACTTCACGATTGAGTTTACTATGTGGTTGTATTAAAGGAAACGGCCTAATTCATAAAAATGGCTATTACTACAAAAAGAAAATTTAACTGTGTTCTAGAATTTTCTGATTGTAGGTCTTCTAAGGGATAATCTCAGAACACTTACAACATTATACAGAATCGTGAGTACACTGTAATCATTCCTTACCAAGCGTTTCCATAGAGATGTTACATCTCAAGTGTTTATGTTTTGTATCTGGAAGTATATCGATCAAAGAATGTTTAATTAAAAGTACAAAAACACAACCCGAGAAACATCCTCTGTTCAGTCATTGTCCAGGCTTCTGCCTGTGCATTTTCACAGTCTTCCCTAAAAGCCACTGATATTGATGAAGATGATTTTATTTGTGAGCCCCCCAAGTATAATGACTGACGTTTTGAATTGTCTATATCCCTGGGGGTCACCTGTCACTGAGAGAGTTATGTTTGGGATGGATACTAGGAACATCCCATCCCTTTCTGATTCTACCCCCGAAGTTCGTCAGGAATGCAGGCTTTGAGAGCTTCAACAACTAAGACCAGCTTTCCATCCAACCCAAGCCCTCTCTCACCTTCCTACTGAAAGGAAATGAATTTGCCTGGAAGTTAACAAGGAGAGACCATCATACAGTGAAGGACACGCAGAGATTGGAAAACATTATAAAACTTAAGACAATTATAGGTCCCCAGGGCGGGTTCCTGTTGGGGTTTTTAAACAATACACATCATTCTCACACATGTTAACGGAGAAGCTGAAAGAGGAGAGCACATGACCAAGAAAAGTGGGGAGACTCAGCCCCTCCTTAGTTTGGAAGCAGTCTTTCTGTCCTCCCCCACAGCAATTCCCCACGCCTGGACTTTGAGTTTGGCCAACGACACATGACTGGGCGTGACGTCACCAAAGGGCTGAAGAGCCCTTGTGCAACTGGCTGGGCTTTTTTGTGCATTTGCCACCCCAATAGACAGAATAGGACTCTGCGTTAGAGGATGGGGTGCAGGGGAAGAGGAGCCACCTGGCTAGGACTGTCTGAACCATCTGACTCCTGGAGCTAAACAAGTGTGTATTTGTAGGCCACCGATGTTCTGTGGTTGCTTGTTACCCAGCTGTTTTGCAGCAAACCCTAACTGATGCAACCAACCGCTTATATAGGGTGTACCAAAAACAATGTATACATATGTTAACAGCTGACAACTCACTTAATTGTCCCTCCTTTTCAGGTGTGATTGATTTGAAATAATGGGTAAAGGCAGACTGAGCTTCGAACGACGAAAATTTATCCTAGCGTGCCCCTAGACTTTATTTTAGGGAGACACATAAAAGACCACGTTTACGGTACAAAACCAGCATAGTTGCCGAATTGAGGGCACACAAAAATGAACAAAATGACTCTTGAGGCTTGAGGCTCCCTTGTTTCGAGTTATCAGCAGTGCCCGGACCAGACGGTCATCACTTTGAAAACAGGCGCTGACAAGAACATTCTTCATTGCTGCGGGTTCTTTTAAACTTTGAAAATGAGCGGCATGCTAATGAACACTGACTTTATGAGCATTCCAAGTGCGTGTTCGTTTCTCGGGGACTCCCTGTATTTACTACGGTCTCTGGTCCGCTGGATGAAAAAGTAGGTGAAGCTTCTGTGCTCAACGTAAGGAAGCTCTCTTTCCATCGAGGCAGAGGCTGCATCCAAATCAAGCTGACAAACCGATGGCCCAATAACGTGTTTTACTTGGCTTGCGTGCCGTCGGCATACCCAGGGTAACATCCACACGCACACGACTGCCAATACTTAGGGTGACGCAGAGAGGCCACGTGAAACTGAATTTCCAGATTCTCTTGAAGAAGGTGGAGGTTTGGCAACGCTGGCAGGGCCTTACATTTTGGAGGAGAGGGGACAACACACTGGGGCTGAGGGGTGGGCTGCCTCCTGGAGATGGGGCCCCCGTCTTTAGCTCCTCCCCATCCTAAGACCTTCCAGCACTGGGGCAGCCAAGGCCCTCCACACAGCAGCTGGGCTACTGTTTTCTAATGATAACATTAAGAAAAACCATTTCATTTTTTTTCTTTCATCACGAGATCTTCACTAATTTACTAAATACCATATTCTTAAAACTCATCAGGCCATGATGTAAACATGCCAGATACATTTATCTTGATTTCTCTCTCTCTCTCCCCCCCCCCCCTCTCTCTCTCGTTTAATCCTTAGGATTAAATTTTTCAGTTGTTTCTGACTCGCTCCCGGGACTCAAGATGTTCCTGTATTTAAAGGAGGTTGTGTTGAAAAGGTTGAATGGAATCTCAGGAGTTTCTGCCAGAATTCCTCCTGGATCCCAATTTAATTTCTTTTGCTCAGTGCCAATTAAAGAAGTATTACAGCTGAAGAAGGCAAATAATTTTTTTAAAGGAACACAGGTGCCTTCACGTTTAATTAAAAAACTAAGGAAAGTTTCCGGTCACTTTCGGCAACGATGTATTTTCCTGTGAGATGCAACCACACGAGGCCGTGACCACGCACCGTCCGGGCGCGGCCAGAGCACGCGTCTGCGTGGCCCGCGCTCCCGCTCCTCCCGTTACCTGGGAAGCACGTGGTCAGGTGCTCCATCAGGGCTTCCTGGGTGACGGGCTTCCGTGCCGAGTTCATCGCCGAGATGGCCAAGCAGAGGATCTCCCCGAGTGGAATGAACTGAGACTGACTGATGGGGGACATACTGATGGGCGACACATCACCTGCAGGAAGACAATAGGCCCGTGAGCGGATTGTTAGAAGAGCCCACCGCCTGTCACACACACACACACACACACACACACACACACACACACGGCCACACCTGCCCCTGTGCTATGAGCACGGCCAACGCCAAACCCCGGCGCTGTCCAGGGGCCTCGATACGCAAAACCCGCCTTCAAACCCAGGCACCGAAAGGCTCGAGGCTTTGAGCAAGCATCTCAGCTTTGATGAACTGGGAGCCGATGTGTTTGCTAACTGGCATCTCCATGGGGACGATGCCTCTGTGGTCACGGGGACTCATTCATTCACACGGTGCGTGCCTTTCCGGCCAGGCGAGCTGGGGGCCTGGGAACGTGAAGCGGGCCTCTCCCCCAAACACCTCTGCCCTCAAGGAGTGTCCATGCCAGTGGAGGAGACAGATACCTAGACCAAAGTTCAAGGTGCACCAGAGGAAGCTGAACCCCAACTCTGGAGCAGGGAGGAGAGATGGGGGGAGACTGAGAAGCGGGAAATGGGAGGTTTTATGGGAGGCCTGTAGCCTGAATCCAGGACTGAAGCAGGAGTGTGTCTGGCTGGGAGGCGGGGTGCGGGGGTGGGGAGAGTGGGAGAAACCGCCAGCAGGTGTTTCTGGGGAGCAGAGAAGGCCCACAGGGTGTAGGCTCAGGCAGAGGAGAGAGCGGGGTGCCCATGGCCTGCATCCTTTGGGGGACGGTGAGCCAGAGAGGGAATGTAAGGAGTGACACCAGACGTGACTCAGAAGGATGACTGTGGGCGGGTAACGCACGGGCTGGGGGCAGGAGAGGGCAGATGACACTCAGAAGGGGCTGTGGCCTCTGCACACGCTTGCTTTGCATCTAAGAGCCGTGGCGGGGAGGCTGACCCCTGCAGCCAGGGGCTACCTGGCCGGGCTCGGAGGAGGTGGCGATAGGGAACGCACACCTTCACTCCCGCCTTCACTCCCGCATCTCTTCTCTGCGGCACAGGTAGTCGCTTCCGAGTTCCGCTCCGGGAAGTCCTGGCCCCCAACAGAGGGAGAGGCTGGGAGGCGGAAAGTCTGCTCCCACACCCAGGCCTCCCAGGCCAGACTTTGGATTCTGTGAGGCTTCCCTTGAACAAGCCCCACAGGAAGAGGGTGGAAGCCATGGGCAGGGTAGAACATCTGTGCGCTATGGTTCTCTCCCACGTTACTCCCATAGCCTCTCCTCTCTGTTTCCTAAGCGCATTCCCTCTCACTCAGCCACACAGCCAGCACCCAGCCCGGGCCAGCCAGCAGCATTCAGCAACACCTTCCCGGGAGGGTCTGGGTGTCATCTGCCCTCTCCTGCCCCCAGCCCGTGCATTACCCGAGGGGAGGCAGCCCTCTTGCTGTCAGGCAATGAGAGCTGTGCCAGCACAGCCCGGGTGTGATGGACTCCAGAGGCCCCTTCGGGCAACAACACGCACCCTGCTTTGGTGGATGGGTGGGAAAGGAGGTGATGGGTGACAGCAGGCAGCAGGGCCTGGGCATGACAGCCACAGGTGAGGGGCACCAGACACAGTGGCAGGATCCCGGTGCCAAAGGTCTGAATGCCTCCTCACCCTTCCTCCCCTCCTCCCCCGTCCCCCAGTTCACATCAGTGCTCCCCTTGGAGCCCCAATCAGCTCTGCTGAGCTGCCATTCTCTGCCAGATAGGTAAGAGGAGAGGATAAGACAGAGACATTTCCCCCAAAACCAGAGAGTGAAAAGAACTCAAATCCAAAACAGGGTCAGGCCAGCAGAGGGCAACACCAGCAGAAGCCGGGGACCCACCGATGCTGGGGCCCCTGGGATGTGAGTGTCCCGGAGAGGAGGCCTCGGAGTGGGTGTTGGCTGCAGTGGCAGTGGGTGGAGCTGGACCATGGAGCTCCGGGCTGTGCTGTGTGAGTGTCCCCCCATGGCTGGCCAGGCTCCTCTCCTACTGGGGATTCAGAAATGACGGGGTCCTGTGGTTTGACCGCCTCAGTGGGGAAGCGTGCGGCTCCCTAGAGGAGCAGATTTAAATATTTAAGAACTTGTTTTACCATTCAACTTAAGCAAAATCTTACTACTCTACCGCAGGGGTGGGGGACATTTGGCCCACGGGCCGTGTGAGGCCCGCAAAAGCACTAGGGGTGAGTTAATGAGGTGTTTGACCCAATACAGCGGGCTGAGTTTCAATGTGAGAATTCTGCAGGAAGACAATGGTCATGTGAGCATATCATTAAAAGAGCCTGCCACCTGTCACATGCGCACCTCACACACACGACCCTCCCAGGGCCACACCTGCAGGAAGACAATGGTATGGCTCGTGAGTGATGTGTTAAATATCCAATGGCCCTTGGCAGAAAAAAAGGCTCCCCACCCCCTGCTCTATAGCCCACTGTGTAAAAGATGAACCAGTGGTGGCAGGTGGGAGGGAGTTGGGAGCTACACCTGTTCAACTCTCCCCTCCCCTGGGGGACCTGCAGCTCAGCCATAGCCACTTAGTGGAGACCTGAGATCTCGACTGGGCTTCCCTCTCTCCCTCTGCCTTCCGCAGGAGAGGACCAGACACCAGGCCAGGTCCCTTGATGAGTTGGTGGGATGGCCAGGTGGACCTGACCTGGCCTGGAATGACTTTGTGAATTAGACGGGAAAGAGGGGAGGCCTGCAGGCAAAGGAGGAGATCAGAGCCCGCCCCAGGACCTCGGACCTGGGTACCAGTAACGCCATCAGCATTCAGGACGTCAGGAAGATCACAAAGTTACTAAATCTGGTTTTTAAAATACAGATCTATTTTCTGATTTTGTACAAGTTACACAGGGAACTTGGTCTCTCTGTAGAAAAAAAATAACTTCTGGCAAACTTAACTAGTCTAGGTCACGTTTGCCCTCATGCTTTTAGCTGACATTATTTGTTTAGTTTAAATGCCATCTTCGACGCAAATTTCTCTGCACTCACTGTAGCCAAGTAAATATAAGAGGCAGCCGGCCTTAAGTGTCTGGCTTGCATTTGCTTTGAAAAAAACCCAGCCCCACTTTAATAAAGAATACGTGCAACGACTTTTAACTTGGACAAAATGGAATGTGGGGGCTCTGAGTGGCTATCTCCACGGCATCTCATCTGTGCGCCGCACCAAGATAAATGGATATGCTCTCCCTCCCCACCCCCGGCCCCATCGGCAATCCGAGTCCATTCCCTCTCCTCCATCCCTGCTCCAAGCCGCCATCGCCTCATCCTCGCCCATCCTAACGCTGGTGACCAGCTTTCCCTCCTGCCCTGACGCTCTCTTCTTCACAGAACAAGCGGGCCTTCTTAGAAAGGCACAAAGCAAACGCCACCTCCTGCAGAAACTCCTACAGCACCTGCCAATGGCCCCTACAAGATCGGAGCCCCTCTCCAGGCCTACAGAGACCCGCAGGGTCCGAGCCTGCCAGCCCGCCCCTGGGACCACCCCACCACGCCCCACCTGGGGTCCGAGCATTGCTTGGCGGTGTGGAAAAACCACACACTGGAACTGGAACCAGACTGTTACCCAGCTGCTGTCTTCACTCCGAGCATGAGTGTGTGTGTGTGTCCTGGTGTACTGTCTGTCTCTCCCATGAGAATATAAGCTGCTAGACAGCAGGAAACATGAGCCACGGTCCCACCACATTTCCAGAGCCTAGAATAATGCAGAGCCTACGCCAGACACCCCACAAATGTTTGTGGAATGAATGAATATCCATTTATAACATTATAACCCAAGGACTTTCTCAGGTATTTTAAGGACTGTGATTTTCTTATCATATTTTGCTCAATTGAAAAACAAACAAAATTTAACAGGTCAAATATACCTAATTTATATGCAATTTCTATGACCCCCTCTATTAATAAAACCTCCCCCCAAAAAGAGCAGTTAACATAGAAACATAATTATATACTATGTGATGCATTTAGATCTGTATTAAAGAAATCACAGGCATCTCTTAAACAACGTAACGCATTATTCCAGTTTACCACGGGTCTTATGTCAGACCTGCTTCATGAGTCAACTGGTCATTGTTAAAATATACTACTAGCACATTCTTCCAACTGCACCGCATTTATGCTCAAAGAAAACAAGGGGATATAAATACGTCACTGAAACATTGTTGGCCACCACCATCTAGAGAAACGACCATATTGTGCATAAACTCTAAACTGCTGCTTGTCTAGAGGATAAATTTGCCCACGGCCGCAATTAGTTCTGAACACGTTCACCAAAAACTTACAGCTACTTTGTGGGCTAACAAATTCTTTCTGAACAGCGATAATGCTGTCCCATTGTTCTAACAAGAATGGGTACACAGGTTTTACTCCAGATTTATTTTCTTACAAACATCCATTTAGGCACCGTCCTCAGGGGACACTTGTCAAATCCAGGATGATTCCGATAAAGCCAGGTGCAGTGCCTTGGACGGAGCCAGCATTCGATAAATTTCTGGTGAGTTTAAAATGTGAGGAGACGTGAAAATGTTGCCACCGAAAGGAAACGTCTTGGCGTGTGAGAGCACTGAGCATCAGGTTAAACAGACCTCGGTGGGCACTTGGAGATTGCTTCCAACTAAGGTGCTCTGAGACGCACAGGGACTGGGAGGAGTCTGCCCGGCGGTGATGACGAAATGGAGGACGGAGACCACGGAGGAGGTGAGAGAGTCGTGCAGAGCACGCAACACCCACAGCCCGGGGTGCCAGACAAACTCTGGCACCACAGGGGCAGGCTGGAGGGGAGGGGAGAGGAAACAGAAGGCAGATCCTGGTTGACCAGAAGGCTTTGATCTTATTCTCGATGCTAATGAGGAACCAGGGCATGCATTCGCACAGAGGAATCACACGACATGCTGTGTGAGAACACCATGCTTGTGCAAAGGTGGAGGGCAAACCGGTGACTATTACCATCACCCAGGCAACGGACAAGGAAGGGCCGGACGACTGGCAGGAATCAGGCACAAGCTGACCTTCGCTGTCTTTGACTGTCTGCAGCTAGCTACCGTCTCAGAA